CCAAAGTTTTCTATTCGAATAGTTCACTCGGTTCTCTGTCAACTAATCAATTGTAACTTCTTATCAATGAGTGGCTTACAGAGGCATGCAAGATGTCGTGTCAAACTCACCTTAACCAGAGGGCGGGGGTAATCTATTTAGAGAATAGCGCGCCTAATACACACGAGAGCTCCTCCCAAATTCGGAATCTAGGATAACTCACTCACCCTGTACATATTTCTATATTTTATCTCTTTATTATTACTTTTATCCCAACAGCTTACAATTCGACATTCGCTAATATATTTGGTAAAGAGTATGCAGTATCTTATCTGAAAAGGTATATCTTCATTTAATTTTTCTAGAACATTTAAATCTGTAAAACTTTTATAAATATATTTTTTAATATTACTCACAAGTATGTTCTTGTTGTTTGAAACGCCTTTGTTAATTCTTTCAGCAGGTTTATTTTTTCTTTGTGCTGGCTTTTCTAACGTTTCTTGCAGCCTCCATTTCTTCTGTCTCTTAGATACAATTAATGCCAACAGTAACGAAATACAGTTAAATTGAAAATGAAGAGTATAGCTTTAGTATATATTACTCTTTGTCTCTTCCTTATTATTTTGATCTTCATCCTGTTCTTCGGTGTCTGTTGAATTTGCAGTAACTAATAATTTGACCCATGGTTTGTGGGAAAAAATATCTTCCACTGTCTTTAATATACGCGCACATTACCTTGCATGAATTATTACAGGAGCAACGGAATATGCATTAGATTATCAATCAAATTTGTAACTGTTGTTCACTATTATTCATTAATAACAAAATCGTTCAATAAAATATTCCCATTACTTATTCGAATTTCTACTTTGTACATTACGGTCTTTTATGGATTTATAAGTTCTTTGAAGTTGTTGGAATGTATTGGCACATTTAGTACCAGAAATGCTATTTTTCCCCTTTTCCTTCATTAAATTAGATATTTTATTCCAGCAGACTTTCCTACTAGTTTCCTCATTGTAAAACGTTTCTTCCATTTCCTTATACAAGTTAATTAGAAAGAGGCTTTCAGCTCGTTTTTAAGAGTACGATCCTATTTCTATTTCAAAATCAAGAATACGTTATTACTTATTACTAAATAACAAAATTTTTACCTTAATAAATATATACTTTCAGATTCCTCTTTTTTTCTCTGAAGATGATTTACTAGCTTCTATCATGATTTGTAAAATTCTGGACGCACTTGACATAGGGTACATGCACCATTTTTGGCCATCTTAGGGCCGATTGTGGCCATCATATTCAAAGTAATAAAACTAAACATTTGATTACAAGAAAAAAACATCGAGTAGATCATTTAGTGAATTTATGTCAATTTGTTCGAAAAATGAACATGTAGTTGTGGGAGAAAAATAATTTGAAGAATAAAATAATAAAAATGGCCACAATCGGTACAGTGGCCACTACCGGTACATCTACCCTATCTGCAAAAATCTAAGTTTTAAGAAAATGAATAAAAAATAAAATATATACCTTGCTGCAATAAATCATACTAAACTCATAAGGGTACGAATATGTTTTAAGGTATACTTATCAGCTTATCATGAAACAAAATATTACGTACAACTTATTTCTAAAATTATAAAAGGATATTCCCCTTACCATTCCGTGCTTTTTCCATATCATCCGTACTTAATTGGAATTTTATATTAAATATTGGTCTGTACGTCAACCAACGTTATGTAAACCATTGACTTTGCCATTTTCAAAGCACGAATCTGCCTCACCTTTGGTGCCGTAGTAATCGCAGCATGGAGTTTATCCCCGTACGAGGCACAGAAATCCAAATAATAATTTCACGCTACCAAGTATTAGTATGCTACATCGAATTTCGGAACACAGTTTACAGCATTGTCAGTGCTTGGAGTGTGTTACGGAACACACCCGTAAACGAATAAATGTTACTTTTACAAGCCTTATGGAGTTAGGCTACTGTGAAATTTTCAAAATTTCGAAATTTTGTTGTCTTTAAAAAATACTTTGAAGTGTTCAGAATAATATGCAAAAGGTTCCATGTAGATATTCTAAGTATTTTTTGAGTTATAGCGTTTGTAGCGAAGGAAGAATTCGACGCGCAGGTAGACGACCAGTGGTCAAACTTTAAACGCTTTTTTCTCGAAACTATGTTTTTCAAAACGGTGTACACGATATCTCGGGCTGTGATTGATGAATCGACTTGAAATTTGGTACACATGTTCTGAGGAATACAAGTTTAGGCGTGACGGATGACTTTGTCAATACGTTTTTTCTGCAATATTTATTAATAACAATAACACGTATTATAGCTCCGAAAATGGCGAAAAAAGTTCAGGAATTTTTTTCTAGTAACCTAAGACGAAAAAAAAGCTCCGTTACGCCATAGCTAATATCATGTAGTTAATAAGGATATTTTTTAGTTTTGATTCAGACCAATCATATTTGCGAAATCGTGTACACCGACCGATCGCGCGTGGAAAATGTCAAACGACGCGAAGAAGAATAACATGTGGAAATTTCAATATTTTTTGATAAAAATTGTTACACACGCTCCTTAAGTTGTACATAAAAATATATTAAAAAATTAAAAATATTGCATTTGTAGTTTTTCCGAAATAAATTTCCAAAAATCAGCCTGTTTCGACGCTGGTCACAGTAGCCTAACCCCTTAAGTCATTTTTACTTTTTGTTTCGATTAATGCATTGGATTAAGTAATTAACACCAGAAGTAAAGAACGTCACCTTGCTTATGGGCATATACTCTATGTGCTAAGGACAAAAAACAAGCAAAGGCGGTGAAGGGCATGTCGTAGAAAGCTATCCGAATATTATTTTGGCTTAAAAATTGTATATACATAATTGTAAATATACATAATTGTATGCATATGCAAATTTAGGTATCCATCTAATATTCATTCTCATGAAAAGACTACGCAGCTCTTACGTAGGTTGTTCCATAATTTTTATTGCACAGCCCTGCTAGAAAGGGAAGACAATTTTTGATTGCGCCATTAGAAAAAATCTCTGTTTCGAATACTTATTTTTCACGACTATCTTTACTGCAAGAAATATAACCCTTAAAACGATATGTACTGTTCACATTTATTAGATAAATCAATCATAAAATATGTTCAGTGTTGTAAATTGAACTTTCTATGTATGTTTCCATGTGCTAAATGTGAAATAATCCCAAAAACACCTGCATTATTTCTAAACTATTGGAGAGAACAAGTCATTGGAGGCAACGTGCGAACGAGTGTTCCATGAACGTTCTGCTCGGAGTGTACTTTGTTCTTCACGACGTTATTTAATTTTTCAAAATACGCTGTCACTTTTGTTTTAGCACTTTATCAAATAAAGTCACGTTCTATTCTGCTATTCTATTTACTCATCGAATACTGCGTCAATATAAACCTTCTATATGGCTACAGGAACACGTTACACACCATCTTTAATAGGTCAAATATATATTCAAAAACTTAAATACAAGATGCGAAATATAAAAAAAAAACATTAATTAACTCATTATAGATATATAGCACGTGAAAAAACAAATATTGCTATTGGAACCTGTTTTGGTGAGTTACAGTACAAAAACGAAAAAGTTGTTTTTTGCAGGGTGCTTTTCCCTATCTGGAGTTGAATTCTTTGTAGTAAATGTTCATTTGCAATTTACTGTTTACGGAGACACAGAAAAAGTCGCATTGTACATTTATACGGCAATATCCGCGAAGAAGTTACGGCTGGTTTTCACCTCGTCAACATGAGATATTGAAGAAACCAAAAAATAGGTGTCGACTAATTCTTCATGATCTACAAAGTGACATTCCAATCGAATAAAAATCCTCTTAGATACACATAAAAATACTTTTTAAACAAATAATTTACAATTTTTTAACTTATTATTCTTTTTCCTGACAGATGTATATAAAGAGGACGAAGAGTGCAATAATTTTGCAATTTAAAGTATTTTTTCTCTCCATGTTTACAAATTACAATATAAGTGAAAAATTAAAAAAAAATAAAACTTTGTCAATAGTTCATTTCACTTCCTAAAAGTGGGGTTCCGTCAAAACAAAAAAAACACGTTCAATATTTTGGCTCACTCTACAATCCTTCAAAGTTCCATCAAAATCGAAGGGGGGGCAACTCGCGCGGTTTCCTTGTTAATCCGACTTTTAAGTTTACGCTTTACATTAATTTGATTGACAAAATCAACAATGTAATGTTGAAAACTGTCTTATTTATATGTACAATAGGTTAGCAACCTTCAAGTATTAATAACTGATATGCGTGTCTAGAAATTCAGAAAACATACTATGCGCAATGATAATATCTTTTGCGAATATTTTGTTTAGCATTAAAAATAATAAAAGTAATTAAATCAAATAACTAACTAAATCTTGAATAGACTATGACACGTTGTGAGGAAATATAGTGTAATTGCTGATAGTAAAAATATGTTGAAATCTACGTATACTACATAACTATCTACGTATCGCAATAGTTGACTTTGATGTGTCAATGATGCAGATAGGTTATGTTATGCCTGTCTGCAATATGCTAACGAATTGAATAGGATAGACTAATCCAAACCCATAGTGAAGGTATTTATCAGTGAAAGGTTAAAAATACCAGCACGCATAACTGATTATGCGTTGCGCTCGCTCACGCGATTACCAAAACATTTATGTTAGAGTCTGTTTGTTTTCCGTTAAGTATGAAATCCACCAGCTGAAAATACACCAACCGGTAATCTCTCTAGCTTCGTTTTTTCCTTACTCATCTCTGAAGCATCGTACTGTGACGCAAATCTGTGACGTAATACCGGTGCATCATTCCGTAGCATGTAAAGAAAGACTTTTCCAAAATTCTCATGTATGGTGGAGCAAAGCCCCATTGTTCTTGTTAAAATAATTTCTTTGAAAATTTTTCTTTCGTAATATTAATTGATCTAAAAGAAAAAATTTCTCGGTTGATTTCAGTATCGAGGCTGCCTCATCGGAACAGTCGACATCCTTAAGGAGAATATCCAGCTGCCAGGAGACACAGTTAAGATCAAAAACTTTAACTGAGAATGAGAAGTGGAATAGAGAAAAACGAGATAAACTTGATTCGATTGTCAAAGATTCTCCGGAAATAAACGAAAAACCTTATTCTGAGGAAGTAAAAGACTCGCAGAAAAAAGAGCTTATCCAGAAAAGATTAGAATATAAGAGTGTTGACCAAAGACTTCGAGAGAACAGTAGCCGCGGTATTACAAGGTCAAAAAGTGATCGCTCATCAGAAGCAACAAAGAAGAAGCAGATTGACCGAAGCGAGAAAAATCCTGGATTTGTAAGTGGAATAAAGCAAACCGAGGAACAGCTCCAGAAAGCATTTGAGAAGCAGCGAGAGCATGAAATATTTTTGCAGAATAAACGGTTTCTGCAGGATAGTTTACTTTGTGCTAAGCTAGACGAGGATAGTCTAATTGGGAAACAGCATTCTCTTCAGTATCAGAGTCAAACTCTAGAAACACAATCGGAACACTTCACTGCATCGACCTCCTTGGAAAATTTACTGAAGTTGATTCCCGAAAGTCGATTGCCAGAATCTTGTTTAACCAAAAAGGATAAAGACTCTTCTTTGAAAAATAAACGCGAGGTAGAGACTCAAACCCAACAGGAGACTAAAGGTACGCAGTGTGGTTCTGAAGATCATCTTGATAGTCTTTTCAAGTCGTCTGTGCAAAGTATCCACAGTTTCACTGATGATAAACTCTTAAAAAATCTAAGAAAAGAGGTTCAAACTCAGACGCAAGGAGAAAACAAAAGTACCCAGTGCGATTCAGAGCACATCGCAGAAGAAAGTCCTCTCAAAGGATCTTTCCGTCAAGAAAGCTTAGCTGTGTCTAAAGGTTCATTTCTTAGTCCAAGAAAGGACGTTGAAGTACAAGTTGAACAAGAGTCAAAGGGCATTCAGTGTTCTTTCGAAAAGATTTTTGATAGCCGTATCAAGTCAACTAGCCTTGTTCCTCGGTCTACGAGCCAAGCCGAAAGTCCTAGAAAGGAAGTTGAAGTTCAAACTTATCAGGAGAACAAGAGTATCCAATGCGATAGGGACAAGTATTCGAAAAAACCAGGACTATCCACAAGATCATCCTCGATTCCTCTGAATCTTGATTCACAATTATCGCAATTGCCGGAATCGCAAACCTCTATCGAAAGTCATCAATTATCAATTGAAAGTTCGGAATCATCAAATTCTTCTTCTCCCCATAAGATTCCTATAATTCTGCTTGTGGAGGGTCGAACAAATATGACTGTTACTCACAATTACCGGGACAAAGATGGCAACGTTTTATGGGCGAAACATTGGGGTCCTGAAAGACTCGTTCAAATCTATAGAGAACCAAAATCCAGCTTGGGGCTTAGCATCGTTGGCGGAAAAGTAAGTATTATTCATTAAAGAGAGTAAATTGAAAGATTGAAAAATGTTGATATTTTGTCGTATTTAAAATCGTATTAAGGTATTCTGATTTTTTAATAATCATTCTACTGATATTCTTGTAAGCAATTAATCAATCATCAATTTCATATTTAAATTTTTTGAAAATCCTAATATTCGGTTAATAAAAAAGCATTGCGACACTTTTTGTTAGTACTACATACCCTTTTTATCGAAGCTGGTCGAGAACATTCTATTAGTGATGGGCGATATATAAAATAATTGCCGAATAAAAAATAATCGGTCAAAAATTATAATTGAAATAAATTTTAAGCAAGTTCTATGATCATAAATAATGTAATAATTAGTGTTGACATACATTAGTATACAATAACGAAAGAAGTAATATATTACGTTTAAAACAAAACTACTAGACTGCAAATCACGTGGCTCTTATTTCGGTGGGACGAGTTGCAATTCGAATTAAAAATAAGTATAAAACTATAAACCTTAATATTTATTAAAATTTCATAAATATTTTCACAGTTGTAAAAACGCTTTCTTTAATTGATAATTCGTTTGTTTAAAACTATTTTATTGTAACATTTAATTAACCCTTTGATGGTTTGAGAATGATACTATACATATTGTCTTCGAATTGGCATAATATTTTCACGCAAGTTATCTATTAATCATGTCTATAACTGTCTTTCACGAAATCTACAAGATTCCGTAAAAACATATTTCGGCCCTTTAACGGTTAAGTTGATTTATTTGAATTTGCCGCCCTTTTAGCTTCACCTCTCTGGAGTCTCAGCGAGAAAGACGAAAGTGAACCTTGTGTACTTTAATCAATTATTCTTAACGATTATAGGTTTGAAATTAATCGAAAACCAATCATTCGGAGTTTAAAATAATCGAAGATTAATCGGTTAATAAAAAATTAATAATTAATTATTTCCATAATCGATTAAAATCGCCTATCACTATATTCTATAGAAAAAAATGTTAAAACGTTCTAAAAGCTTCGTCTTCGACAAGTACAAAAAATAAATTTATAAAATGCAATAATATGTAATAATTTGTCAAAGAAACTTTGTCAGTATAGTAAACTCTCCTATCGATCCAATATTACACATAATTAATAATGGCACTATAATATAGATAAATTATTATTAAACAAATAAGTTGCATGGAATTAATATATATTAATATTACTAGGTTGATCTCTACAATGGTGGACCGAATAAGTCTGAAAATATTTCCGGTATTTTCATCAAGAATGTCTTGCCTAACAGCCCTGCTGGAAGAACTGGCGAGCTTAAGGTAATTATAACTTTGATCACACCAAAAGTGCTTCCTAATTTTTGAGCACCACCGCATATAATCTGTAGAAAGGAATGAACCCTTGAATTGGTTAAAATTTTAATGAAAAAATCAAGTTCCGGCTGTTGAAGAGGTGATGACATTTATAAATTGTTGTTGTAACAGGAGTAACACACGTAGGGTTTCGGATTCGATAGATTTATTTAGATTAGATATCGTAAAAAGAAGAACACTTTTGGTAGAAGTAGCGGTAGCAACTCTCATTGACCTTTTTTTGTTCAAGGAGGCGGCTCTAGAGAGTATACAGGGTGTTCGTTATGAAACGCACTGTAGTAACACCGTTGCATTTCTTTTCAAATTCTAATGAATACGTGTATTTTCATTTTTTATTTCATATATCAAAATATCGAGATAATCAAAGTTGAAGTTGCAGTAATGCGACCAATCAGAACGCGTTGAAATGGAGCGTAGATGACGTCGCAAGTCAGCCCGCAAGGCCTGCTTACACTAGGCCAATACCACTAAGAGTATCGTCGTAGTCTCCCTGTTTATCTGCATGTAATTGAGTAAGATACAAGAGACGATATTCTTAGTGATATCGGCCTAGTGTAAGCAGGCCTTGTGAACTAACTCGCGACGTCATCTACGCTCCGTTTAAACGTGTTCTGATTGGTCGCCTTATTGCAACTTCAACCTTGATTCAACACGTATTCCTTAGAATTTGACAAAGAATGCAACGGTGTTACTACAGTGCGTTTCATAACGAACACCCTGATTATCTATCTAGGTACCGATGTACATATTTCGACCTATTGGGTCTGTATCGATATGAGCAGTAACAATATGGCGGTCGGCGCCAGGTTGAAACGTAAAAAAAACTTATGAAATATCGCATAACAACATGCTTTCAACATAAATGTATAGGGTTTCTGAAATGATTGTAGCACCAGTGAGACGCTAACATATAATTCTACATATTTTATTATGGTGATTGTATATAATAGTCCCACGTGATCCATGTAATTGTGCTACGAAAGTGAAATATATTTAGATCTACATGTAGATAATTTTGAAATAATAATCATGTAGATAATTTTGAATGATCACGATCTAGTTAAATAAATCACGGATAACATAATGATAAAGAAAATAGAAAAAAAATATCTTTAAATTGAACTTCGATATAATACTTTTGTTCAAAATTAATTTTCCATCAATTCTCATTAATTAATCCACACGATAAGAAACCCTAAAACATACCTGTCGCTGTGGCTATTTTTCGCTGATAAATTTTTACAACGGCAAAGAGAGGAAATTGTTTAGAATTTCGTTTAGTTTATAGAAATGTTTATCTTAAGGGCAAAATCTATGTGAAAAGTAAAGGAAGTTCATTGTAAATAAAAGATAAGAATATGAGACGATAACCGAATGTTCTGAGAAAGATTGAATTGAAATTGAATTGTTTTCAGACAGGGGACAGAATAATTGAGGTGGATGGAATTGATTTGAGAAACAGCACGCACGAACGGGCAGTAGAGGCCATTCAAGCTGCCGGAAATCCTGTTTCTCTTCTCGTCCAATCACTCGTCCAGTTGGTGAGTTTAAATGCTTTGTCCAGTGGTAGATTTCTCTGTATTATTTCCAAACCTAAAATAGCCAGGTGAATTTATATAACTAGCATAACAGTTATATTTAAATTTCCGTTCGAAGAGGTAGAAGAGGGGGGTGTTAATAAAACATGATTAATATAGGTTAACATTCATATGTTCATAACCTGAAACAAAGTGCCATAGCCGGAGAATTATGAGGAAGCTGCGCCCTTTTTTTATTGACATCCTTGGGAGATATTTGTACTCGATAACAAAATATCTGTATAATAGAATTGCTTTGTAAATTTTAGCCTTTTTCATAAACTCATTAAATTTATTTTTTCAACAGCGGAGCGAAAACGCTCGTTTTTTTTATTTTTAGACAACTCTAGTTTTTTTAAACCATCAAAGCGTTTACAACTAAAATTCCCAGCAGAAGTTGAATGCCAAGGTTTCGGTACCATTTAATTCCTTTTTTAACTGTAGTGGCATAAGAAGCGTGGCCTGAAGGAGATTTCGTTGGAAACACGCGCGGCAGTCAACGTACTAGAACTTTTCTCAAGTTACTGAGTCAAAGCCGCTTTCAGATCGGCAAATGGTGTTACTGTTTTTCTTTTTTAACTCTCTTTCTATCCAAAAACATTAACTTATATCATATATCTAACTATATATCATCTCTGTCGATCCCTTTCTTTCCTATATTCAATCTAATTTACGAGTATCATCTTCTCCTCCACTTCTCCTTCCAATCCTTCTGCTAATATTATTACATGATACGTCATATAATGTCCACATAAGCGTCAACACTCTATAGACCTCTGTTTTTTCCCCTCTCAATTTTCCGTATAGGTACTATTAGGGCCATCCTCCAGACCTCTGATCCATCTCCCTTGTTTTTATATTACCGTCTGTATCATTTCTTCCCCTCCGTATATTCATTTTACGTTTGGTAAACCATCAAATCCTCGCGTTTTTCCTTTTTGAATCTCTTGAACTGCCTCTTGTTGTGAGTCTAGGTTAGATCCACGGGTTCAACTACCGGAATGGATATTCAGGGAGTCGGGTAATTTGGGATTATTTGCCTAGTTAAAAATTGGATCTTAAACTCTTGAAAACAAGTAAAAATGATTTATTGAAAACAAAACTATTAACTTTGAACACACTATCACAATCAGAACTATGTTCGTGGTGAGTACGAAGGACACAAGGACGAGTTTAGTACTTCGACTAAATCACCACAATGACACTTCACTCGTTTCTCTACAACTCCGTCTGACGTGCCGAAAGCCTGTTCGCTTTATACAAAATATCTTATTATTGGAATTTCAAGAGACATATCAACCAGAGGATCGTTTTCGGTATTTCGCCATGGTTTCGGCAATGTGTCTCCTTTGTTTCCATAATTTTTAGCGATAGGAATATGCCGCGTGAAAGCTTGACAATTCTGTCGCTTCTGACGTAGGCGCGTTAACGCATCCATGATGTGATTCATAACACTCTTGATTTCTTTGTGATTCACTTTTACACTTCTCCCTCTCTCACTCTCATTATATCACATCCCTCCCTTCTTCTCTCTGTTGTCTCTTCTAACAAGCCTACAAAATAATCCTTCCATTCCACCGTTGCTGTCCCTCATATATGTCAGTCCTACTCTTTCTTTCTACTTTTAAGATTTGCGTTCGTTTCATATTATTCCAATTTCCTCCATATATCTTTCCTTTTTCTTTTTTCTTTCTTTCACAAATTTCTTTATATTTTGTCTTTCTCTCTATATATTCTTCTATCTACAACCTTCCCTTCTTAAACATTCTTAGTAGATATTTCCTTTACCTCCTTTTTCTCATTTCTACAATTCTTTGTCCCACTATCCGTTCTTCTATCCTCCCTTCTCCCTGAACCTGTTTGCTTTCTTACACCCTATAGCTTCCGAGTAGAAAAAATAAGTCCTGTTCTATACTTTCTTGTTCTTTTCTCGGCAGTATGAGAACAGAATATATACTTCTTCGTATACAAATACTTAGGGCTTCTTTGACTCGGGAATCGATAGAAAATCATGCATTACCTTTGGAAGAAGAGCCTTAAGGGGAAGTCCTGTAACGCTGAACGGCACCTAGCAAAGTAAACTGCTAGTATCTGCAAAACTAAACACCATATCTAGGGGAGAGTACCATTTCCGTGGCCCCTTAATTTGATTATTGGTTCTTAATCTATGGACCAAAATAAAGTGATTTTCAAGAATAAAAAAAAGTCAATGTCGTCTTAGTTTAGGAGATACGAACCCTTTAGTGGTTCTTTTATTTTGAATCTACAGTGAAAGAAATTATCGGTGTGTGTGTGTGTTTGCGCGCGCACGTGTTTGTATGGGCGCGCGCTTGAGAGTTGGTCTGTGGGTGGGTGTTTGGCTGTGTGAATCTCGCTGCTCGTCACTTCTGCAGTATTCTTTGACTCCAAACCATGTGTGTGTATGTAGACCCTGCAGCTTGTCACATCCGTACGCGCGCGTTCGTGTGTTTTCTTTTCAGAAAAAATCATCTAGAGTCTCGAGTTCGTGGTCGGAAGAGTTGTTCGCTGACACTTCTTTCAATTCTTCGTCGATCGTTTGAATTTTTGTACGTTTTGCAGGAATCAAGTCTTTCAATTCTTGTGATTCCACGGTTGGTTGATCAATTTCCCGCAGTTGCAGTCCTGTCTGCTTGACACCATCGACAATTCCCGGATACACCCGTTTTATATCAAGGAGGAATTGCATTATTTGTGAGCCTATGTCGTCTTTATACTTTTTTTCTAAGATTTGTTGTCGGTAGTAATGGAGTGCCATGTATTGGTGGAGCATCTGTGGTTTGCGACAAAGTATGGTACGTTTCAAAAGTTTGTTTTGATTCTCAAGGTTGTTGATAGTATTAGAAAAATCTTTTTTGTCGACGTATTCACCTATGGTTTGTTGTCAAATGAACCGTACTGTCGCTAATAATTTTCTCTACACCAACGTATTGCTTCGCACTGTCAGTGCAAAGACGTGCCGTGTTCTAGGCAATATACTTTATGATGTATGGCCATAGGTCTGCTTTACTCTTTGAATTCACCTGGAAGAGTAACCCGACTTTATTTTCTTTACAGTATAACCCTAAGACTGTTATAGTCATTTGGTCCGTAATTCTTCCGCGATAATACTTCCTTTTCGTGAGGAATGTTTCGTCGATTTGTACCGTTTTTTTCTCACCACCAAGACATATCTCATTGTTGGAAGCTATGACCTCGGCTATTTCTTGGCAATAACTGTAACAGTCGATAATTGTTGATCGACTAAGCTCGTAATCATCTAGGTGTCGTCGCCACCCAAGCAAATGCTGATGCAGATCCGATATTTTCATTTTTGTTACAAAATATATGACAATAAAAAGTACATCGTAGACTTTTATTCGGCAATTTGTCCCGTCCAAAAATGTACCAGAGCATGGATTTTCTGATTTCCCACAATGCTTCGCACCTTTCTTTTTTGCACCTGTAGTCGAACACCGCTATATCCAGCCCAATTTCTTGTCCCGTTGTGACTCGACTTTCATTAGCATACCACAACACATCGGAGATTATATATAAGCCCGTATTGAGAACTTGCTCTTAAGGTCACTAACAGAGTCACTATTATTTAAAAGTGACTGCGCCGAGTTGTTACTGACCGTATTCAGAACTCGCTTTTAAGCCGTTTTTAGTTCGAGGTATGCTAACAAGGAGCAGCGTCTTGTAACATGTACTTTCAACGCCGTTTGAAATCATTCGGGAAGACTCGGGCATATTCGATTATGTCCGGGAGTATTCGATGGCATTCGGAAAGCGCGAACTTCATATTTGGTGAAAACTGCAGCCATATTTGAAATTCGAAATTCAAGAACTCCCTTTCTTGAAGCCGAGCTATTAATATTTTATTAATACGTTAAAACTATTATAAGACAGGCATGACACGAAAATGAAAAAACATAAATGGATGTAGATCATCATGGAACGAAAGGAGAATTTCACCCTCGAATTTTATCCTTAATCGTGGAACGAGCTTGTGAGCGGATCCCGCATTCATTAGGTTCTTTAGGGTTCGAGCGGAGCCCATATTCATTAGATTGTTTAGGTAGTAAATTAGGTTCTTTAGGTTCTGAGGGTTAGGTCAGGTTAGGTTATAGTGAGAGTG